GCACCTGCCAGTTTCACATGAACATTTCAGCTTGCAAAATATCCCCCAGCGAGTATAGTCCTCCATTCTTTTCACTGCATTTAGGATTTGCCAAAAACCTCTCAAACAACAACCTGACATTTATTGCTGAGTTGAGTTTTTGTTAACCCAAAGGCCGTTCTGCTTCCAAATGTATGGCAAACAGCAAAAGCCATTAAAGTGTAGTATAAATCATAACCCACAGCATTGCAAACTAAAGTGGTGAATCTCCTAGTTTCTTAGAAGGCATCACACGATCCTTTGCCACCAGCACAGTCTTCATAGTTTTACAACTCAGGACTCAAGAAGAGTTGGCTGATGCACTGACATTGCCACATGAGATTTCCACTGACTGTTGAAGTATTTAAGTATTTATGAACATTCTAGTTGCCAGTGAAAGCTGTCCAGTCATAAATGGAAGTCTGTTTTTGTCTTTATAAAGATCAAGGCATTCCAATTTTAAAACCTTAATACATTAACATAGCCCAGTTCATAAAAACCTAGAGAGCTCCACAATTGTTACAAAAATTCAAGGGATCAATTAACTGAATGGCCCAATATGCCATCCCAGATTCTTTTCACTACAAACACTGTCACACACATATATACAAGTACATGTAGATTTACATGTAACAGGGAATCTAAAATTGTAATCTGTCTAATATAATATGGTTTATGTACAGAGACTCGCATACATGCATGTATACATGTACATGAACGTACTGACACATAGGATTATGAAGGTGACCCCAATCACATAAATACATACTTAAAAGGGAAATAATGGAAAGAAAGAAAAACAATTATGAAGAGACAAGTTGTCTCGTGTTAGATTTCCATTCAAATTTCAAGTGCATATATGAACGCGTATAGGACCTCATGGATAGTCTAGATAAATATAATGAAACAAAAAGAGATCAAAATTAACAATATTTAAAAACAGATTTCCATAATCGCACTTTAGATGCTCACTACACAAGCCGGAATCAAAAACATGAAAGTTCAGAAACTGCAAATTACACATTTCCCGTGTGCCTTGCCAACAGCTCTCCACCTGATCACTTTTTTCTTTCCTATTTTCACGCTAAATTAACGGCAGTGAAGCAATGCTTTTTCCTTTCCTCTGACAACCAGCATGGGTTAGTTCTCTTGGCCGGATATGTGGCTCAAGGCAAGACATGCAAATGCTCATCACACCGACCAGCAGAAGTCATCTCATGTACACTGTATGTCAGGACCACCTGCTTGCCTCAAAGCAAAAGGAGGAAAAATGCTTCTCTCTCCTCAATGTTTATTCTTAAGATGGGCATCAAAGCATTGCTGAAGGTGAGCAGAATACCTATCCATCTAGCTAAAGGGTGCATTATGCATCTGAAGCACGGGTTGAGTATGCAGCATTTTCACAAGACAAGAACGAATGGAAATACGGTAGACAGGTACCAACAATTTCAAAAAGGGGAATGACCTTATGTCCCCGCCCCTCGGCCATTTCACGAAATTAAATCTTCATGAATAAGGAATATGAATTTCTGCCACTAAAGAACATCTCGATTCCGCATGTGGTACATTTTTGAAATGTTTAAATCTGGAGCATCAAATCGAAGCAAACAAACTTCTGATGTGAGAGAGCCTCACCAGTAAAAGTCAACACCTTCTAAAAAAAAAAAAGCTGGAGACTTTTTAGTGTCATACGCGCAGCCAGGTTCCATTACTGTTACCCGGGTTTCCATTTCAAGGAGTATTATCCAAGCCCTAATGGGGCGGTGATGTCAGACGGTGTGAATTCATGCAATGGTTCTCCTGTGGCCACTCAATCTTCCTGGACAATCTCACTCGGGCAGACCAGCCCTGAAGAGTCCGGTAAGAAAGATGAGAATGCCATGACAGCCAGACCTGCAGCTCGGCTTCCTCTTCAATTAAATTTATGGCTGCGCCTCACTCTCACCATAGTAAGGCCATAAATTCTTCTAATTTTTTGGAGGGGCTTCTATTCTTGGGTCAAGATACCTGCATTTCAGTGCCTGATCATACCATAAATCATGGTGTTGACGAGTATTATTTCTATCATCAACAGTATGTTTATTATTATCATCACCTGGTAGTTTACTCTTTAACTGCTCATCACTACCTCCATGCTAAGTTGAATAAATAACTTCGCTAATTTGAGTCGGTGTTATGTTAATCACAGTCATGTGTTAAATAAAAGATCCTCATCAACGAGACCATCACTAAACTGTCATTCACATCATGAAAAATATGCGACCAGCTCCATAAAAATGAGTATTATGGGACATTTTTTCAAAATGAGTCACATACATGAACACACTTTTGAATTGGTTAGATTATAAGCTTTAAGTTAGTGTAAGTTTGATCCCTTCGGCATTTGGAAATCTGGAGACTCTTTATATTGATTTTTGCATAATCATATCATAAACATTAACAGAATTGCTCTCAGAGATAAAGCCCTTCAAACAAAGGGAATGGAAAAAGAAATCAGCCAAGAAGAAAATCCCTCGATACCCACAGCAACGGTTAGGTTTCCTGTATGAAATGTGAAAGTACTGATATAATAGAAGCCAATAAACCAAGAAGTAACAAATCACCCTGTCCACATAATAAAAAAGCCCTTAGTGTGAAATAGGACAGTGTCCCTTAATACCCTTTTTGGCAGAGTAGGTCACATTTATGAAATCTTATATTTCTGTTTCTCATGAAAGCTGTGAAAAATAATTTCCATCTTAATGGTTAGTAAATTTTCTAATCAATCTCAAATTGACACAATAAGACTGTAAATAATGGTGTGGCTTGTTCATCAGAGAATATCGGAGCAAGCAGTGTGTCTTTTTTTAATCACAGTCGCTACATTCAAGCACCTTAATATGAACTTTCCCATTATTTTCCACAGACCGGCATTCACTACGTAATGTGTACAATACGTGACCTCCTACTCAATAAGGCACATTACACCAATTTCCTCACTGAGTTAATGAGCTGACACAGGTTGAGATTGGACAAATCATTTACCATGCACCAAAAAGCACCGGCTTGAAGTTGCAACTGACAACAAATTCACATCACGTTGCTGTTGAACCGAAGTCAGCCACTTCATCAATAATTTCATGTACACTCTACAATCGCTTCTCTTATTGACATAAGCTATGATAGAAAAAGTTGCCAATACCCCCACGAGAAGGATTTTGCAAGTACCTAAATACCAAGCCTTTACTTCACATTTCAGCTCACTCTCCGAGGTAAGCACTTCACCTAATACTTCTTTCGGCAAAAAAATTAGAATACTAAAAATAGGAGAGCTTTTTTTTTCCGTTTTGCCTTTCTCTTCATTAAGTTGCTGCCTCCTGTAATCTCAGACAATCCTCTTTTCGGATGCCAACTTGTGGTTTAATATAAAGCCAAGCAAATCTCCCTGTCGTCACCAATATTCTTAGACAGTGAATTTATGCCCAGCCTAGAAGGCCCTCCAGCTTGTTCCAACTCTAATCTTAAAGAGATGACTTGAGCATTTCAGGCTCCGTCCCCTCATACCAGACACTGACAATCCCATTAAAACTTTGATGGCCCACTCAGATTAGTCCCTAACCTGCCACTTTATGACTGCTACGGGGCTATTTGGCTAAATGTGCTGGTTCAATGACCTCTTTATTCCTTTGGAACCCCAGACATTTCTTCATATCTACCAACAACAGCTGAAGACCATTTCAGATTCTTATAATCAATAAGAACCTGTCTCACTGGGGGTACAGGACTATGTCTTAAAGTTAAACCCGTTATTTTGCCATGAACTATGAACTTCCTTGTCCTTTTACTTTCAAAGGGCATCAAGCTCTATGTTAAGCAACAGTGGCTGGGTTCAACTTTCCTCAATCCTACAAAATCCTCAAAAACCTCTAAGTGGATTGTGGAAGAAGGTTTGATGGGACAGCTGTGGTGTTTACATAGAGTACAATCTGGAATAAAGGTTGTCAAATGCAGACCTTTTACGATATGTCCTTGGAATTCTGAAACCCTATTTTGGCTAACACTTTCATCTCTCATTCCCCACCAATGTGTCAAAAAACAATACTGAGAAATTGCTAAGACTTTGTTGTATCGAGCAATATGTTCACCAAAACCTTGTCACAACAGGGTGGTATGAACCAACTGAAGGTCATTGTTAATTAAAAAAAAACAAACTGCAGATGTAAAAATAAATTATTTGTAAACTTAGAAAACAAAAACACTGGTGTAACACCAGCTGTAGGACCCACTAATCAATGCTCACCATTGAATTATGGCATGTCCTGGAAACACAAGCCAAGAGAACTCATTCAGGTGTATATTGAGCAAGCTATTGTCAAGAACGATGTCTCCCTATGTGAGGAAATTTATGCGGTCGTTTTTAAAGCAGTTATATCCATGTACATGTATATTTAACAAAGACCAGGATGAGAGATGTATATACTAGGCTTAAAAAATGCAACACCACCTGCTGAAAATTAGTGAGATTATCAAATTCAATCAGTCTTGCCGAGCAGTTTGTCTTATAATTCAAACAAGGTGTATGCAGCAATTATCCTAAATCACAATGAATAACTGTTATTAACACAAGTCTGCAAATTTATGACAAAACAAAATGTAAATACTATACTGTACTACGAATATAATACTCCCAGTCTGAGTAAAAGGACTGTAGGCACTGAATGTGGAGAGGGAGTTTCTCCAATTTGTCAGTAAAAAATTGGAGTTTTTCAATGGGCAACTACAGCACTATGTCTAGGGACAGTCAACTGCATTAGATAAAATTCAATGAGGAACCTGCCCAACTAATGGAGATTTTTGGTTAATGCTCCTAAGGTTAGACTGCACAGGGCTTTACACCTGTAACTGAAAGAATGTTCAAGCCACTTTAATTTTCTAATTAGTGACTGAGAATGGGACAGTCATATGAGCAGCCTAATGTAATTGAAGATAAAAGAATGACTTACCAAATAGAGAGCAAGTTGCACCTTGGTAATTGATTGCAGATCGTTGTCACCTGTTCATATGAAACAATTAAACTATGCTTCAATATAATTACAAAGCCTTGAACTAATTACTGAGGCTAATAAGACAATTTGATTAGTTCGGTGATTTGAAAGGAGGGTACGATATGAGGACTAGACATTGGATAGAACCTGGGGGAATTCAATTATCAGTCTAGTTGATATCTAGGGCGGAAGTAATTCACAGGGTATACAGTAGGTATTCTGGGGTTATTCTTTCACACCTTGTAGTAGAGTGCTAGACTCGCCCCAGGCAAGTACTGCATCACTTCTGGGTTCTATCACTTAACATACTTAAAGGTGGTATATACCATTTGCAAGTCCCCTGATACAGCAGAATAATCTTTACATAATACATGAAAAGTTTGTAAATAACAACATGACACATTCTGTGGAATCTTTCCGCCCGGAATGCTACTGGTTTTTGAGTACACAGAAATTCTGTACTCTTTCAAATAATGATCATCTGTCCAGACAATCGTTAAAGCATATGGATAATTTAAATATGATAAATACAAACCAATAACAATTAAAATAAAAAACCTGTATTTTCACATAGCCTAACTCCACATACAGAGAATGAAGTACATTGCAAAGTCTACATATGCAGCAAGCATTAATTACAATTTGTATGTACATATGGCATGATGCATGGAGCTGTCAGATGAGTCGACATGCATGGTAACAATACAAACCAACAACTATCCTTTTAGACCCATGTGGATGTGAAATGAACATGTGACCACGTATACATATTACCACCATGACAGCAGTCATTTTACTGTCAGGTGAAGTATTGCTCATTTGATAAATTCACAACATTTCATTGTTGCAGGAAAAAACACAAAAGCTTCAGGTAAATATGTCAACCACTACTCAAAGCTGTTTTTTTTTTATACCAGTTGCACTTTCAGCATTGGAAATGAACACCATTTTTTGTGATTTTTCTCAAAGCAGTGAACTCAAAACATGAAAAAAGTCTATGGAATCATACCCAAAATGAAAAAAGTCAATGGAAACATATGCAAAATAAACTACAAACCCTAAACTAGTTAATTTTGCAAAAAAATACCGTAAAAAGACAGTCGTGTGAATGGGGCATAAAAGGTTGAAAATGTTTGAGGCTGGCTACATTGAGAATACGAGTTTGTCTGTTTACTTCAACAAGTTTGTGGGTAATTCTAGAACTTTTAAGGATCCATTTTTTTCCTGTCCCTATCACATCTGACACATGATTTTGTAAGTTCAGAATACATGTTCTACTTTCAGAGAGTGATGAATTAATGCAACAGTTTGAAATCAATTCTGGTGATATTTCCATGTCAAATAATAAAGATCAGATGTAAAAGGGACATAAAAAAGTCACATTTTTTGGACCCCTAATTTCTGGAATTACTCTGATACCAAAAAGGGCCTGGAGACAATGCAACAAAGCTGGTAAGCACAGAAAGTTATTAACCACTTGGCTCTGGCTTAAGTTGAAATTACATGCGACTCTATGGAACAGGCTGCGGCCACCACAATAGACTCGTTTATAATTTCTATCAACAGCCAAATAAGTCAGACACTGCCTAAGCACAAAGAAACTACTAATCAATATCTGGTTACCAGCCAAAATGCCATGCAATGTATACTTCTGTGGTTGGTTCCAAATTAATTTCTACAAGCAATACCTTCCACAGAGCGGATTAGCCAAGAGCCAAGATAGGCCTGTCTCAAAGCCTGACATGAGGGTAAATCAAGACGTAAAGTGCTCAAGGTATTTTAATCCTTGTAATCTAAAACTTTTAAATCTGATCAGAGCTTTTGCAGGTCAGATCTGCGAGGTCAGCTAAGAGAGTATACCTGTGGTGCCATCAAGTTGCAAGAAATCTCTTTTCTGAATCTGTGTGGCTCTGGGGAGAGTCTGTAAAAATCTAAGTTTCAAAGAGTATGCTCTACATGGTTGTCAGGACTGGAACAATAAACATCAGGGCCAAATCTGGTTCCTCACCTATCAGCATGGGGAAACTGCTGGAGTGCCGCAATACATACTCCTGCATCACGTGCTGGCAAGCTGAGTCTTCAACCTCAAAGGTCTCATAGAAAGACACTGCAAGACAGTAACGATGCAAAATGGTAGTACTATCAGTCTACCACAACCATTGGACAATTTGGTACGAGACAAGTCTATACAAAAGACACTGGGGACCGTATTTACAACGATGGATATTAGGAAAAAGAAAACAGGAAACCCTGGATAATCATGGAAAGTAATAAGCTTGAATTTTCTGTGTGTTCTGATCAGGCTGTAGTTGAGTCCATCACAAATCCCCTGAATTTATCACAGGTCATCCAGTCTTATTAAGCCAAGTCCCAAGCTTTAAATACGAACTGCGATAAACATTCCTTTGTCACTATTCAACCTGTTACTAGTGACTGGTCTTGTGCCTGGACCTGTAATGGACTCCACTCACAGCCCTGATTCTGATGCTAATGTATCTCAGCTTACATGCAGCCAGTTGGTCTGGTGCTCGTAGGTACTGCCAGAGTACCTCTACTGTGTCTTCATCCATCAGCTTGGGATATCTGTATACAAAAGTAACAAATATGTGATTAAGTGATGAAACCAGAAGTCACTTCATTCCGAAGACAATTTGTTAAGAACCCTCCTGAATCCTGCAAAATCCTCCACTGTGCAGGAAACCAATAACACATACTTGGCACTTTCAGAGGACTATCAAATTCCATGTAAAGTGAGTAAACCTGGATTGATCCTCCCTCAATCTTGCAATATCCTCTTGAGCCTCCTGATTGATTTTGTAGGATCTAGGAGGGTTAGGACTGAGAGTCATAGTCTGTAGGATGTTAATTCTGGTACCTCAAATATACACACCTGTTCTGCATGATTTTCAGCAGCAAATTGTTAGCTCTATTTGTAGCAATGTCAGGAGTCAAACTGTGTGGTAAAAACAGGAAAAAAGAAAGCTCATTTCATTACGTTGTTTGGAAGAGGAAAACTTCCACCCCTACCATTGAAGTCATGCGTACTGAACATAAAACAGAATACTACCAGGGTAAAATCACCATCAATAGAACAGTTATCTGTAGTTTGTGAGACAGTTGGTCAACTGGCTCATATAACTATATCTGTCCTGGGCCACTTCACTCAGCTCAAATACTAAAACTATCATTGAAATAGCGTCCAAACTTGAAAGGATTACTTACGATGTAGTGATGACTTCATCCCTCGATCGACGTATCAATCGAATAGGTCCTGGATATCTGCACAGGACACAAAGACCCCAACAATCAGAAACGCTATCAACTTATCTCTACAGACGCAGGTTGAAGTGTTTACATGAGGTAAAAAAGCAACTGATTCCATTGGAAAATTAAGTCCCTTCACTTTGCATGCCACTGTTCCAATGCATTCACCTCACATTGGAAATTGGAACATTCCCAACAAAATGACAAACTTACTTGCAAAGATGTTCAGCTACATTCAGATTCATGTATGTGCTTAAGGAGTGGACCACCAAACCACCTGCAAATGGTAAAGAATCCAAACACCGGTGATGCAACTGGAAGATTTCAATACAGTGATCAAACGTGAATACAATGGGTCTTAAAGCTGGTGCTTCAATCAAAATGCAAGAACGGAAATATTTCATACAATATGGGAGTTTCACAGTAGTGCGCTTCCTAGAGTTTGCAACGCACTGGCTAATCATAATGCGCGAAATCCGTCAACCCAATGCGCATTTGGAAAGGGTCGATAGATTTCATGCATTATGATTGGCCAACACATTGCAAACTCTTGGAGGTGCACTATTGCAAATTGCCTGTATTGTCAATGCATTCAATGGTATCACTTACTCATGAATTCAGGCATCTTGGATACAGCTAGAGGCACTATGTCATCAAATGTTGCATCTAGGACCTACAAACCAAACCGTAGTCACAAAGCAATACCAGTCAGGTACTCCAGTGTTTGTTTAATAGGAACAGGTAAGCAGGCAGACCTAATGCTAGGAGCAAACTCTAACAAAACATCAAAATAGCCAATTCTTTTGGAAATAGCCTATGAATTCCCATAACAATAGGATACAACTTGATTTTTCCATGGCCCGGCCATACACTTTTCACGATAAATCCCTGACTGCTTTCACACTCAACAAATCATTTTCAATAACCTTAACTTTTTCAGGACAAAAATGTCCTTGTTTGGTCATTTTCAATTGGTCAAAAAAGAACTACCCAATCACATTAATTTTGTCAATAGCGAAAAAAAAATATCAAGGATTGAATCAGATTACTTACCACACCTCCTATATCAGGATATTCTTTGGCTGCAATACTAGCGGAATAGCCGCCTATTGACCAGGCAAATAGAACAATATCTTTCAGCTCAAAACCTAGACGATGGATAGCATACTGAACGACTACATCAACTGCATTGGCTTCATTTTCAGGAAATGGCTTGCCCTGGTGCCAGAAAAACATGGAGAATGTTTAATATGAGACTGCGTCTGAGAGAATACTAGGTGCCTATTGACCAGGTAAATAGTTCATCTTGAATCAATAAATTATGAATGCTGGCAAAATACTTACAGTGCTGCCACCAAAACCTGGATGATTCCAGCCCAACACTGAGTACTTCGCTGTGAAAGGAAATATAAATGGATTTGAGACATGATGACGGAACTATGGAGGGCTCCATCATGGAAAATATCAACAGGAGGAAGGCAATAGTCTAACAAAAGGGGCTGTGGATGTACAAACAGTCTGTGGGGTAAAGTTTCCAGATGAAGTATAAATCCCCATTGGTAGTAAAATCAAATCACTATTCAAGCACAATACAAAAGTTTGGATCCCTGTAAGACTTGTATTTCCCTATGTATCAAGATGTCCAGACACGGGTGGACTAGGGAGTGGACGGGTGGGGTCAACAATTGGGGAGGGGGAGTGACAGTTTACCTTCTGTTGGTGTCTCCATGCAGCCTACTTCATAGTACCCACCATTTCCTTCACAGCATATGACCTGTCACAAAAAAAGATCGCAAGAATTTTTCAATCATTGTATTGTATTCTCATTTTCCATTTACTCTTCTGCTCTTGGTGTTTCAATCTCTGGAGAACTGACAAAATGTGACCTTTTATTCCAGCCCATTCAAAAATTTGTTACAAATTAATCTGTCAAATGCACTGATAAAGCAGCTATCAAATTTTAAGCAAATTACAGCAAATCTTTACATTGCAAAACTGGACATTTGTTAAATTATCCTGTGCAATGTCAATGTACCAGCTGCATACCAGTTTGTTGCCGTGAAATGACTCCTTAGATCTCTTATCGATGACTACTATATCAATCTCATTGCCATCTCTTGCGATGAGTTTGGATCGCACAGCGCCTTTGTTTTCAATCAGTTTGGCTCTTCCCTCAACTAAATTTGGCCCTGTGAACAATAAGCAAGGTTATCACACATCATCAGCACCTTCATACCAAAATTCAGGCATACTAAAGTACATGTACTGTCCTGAAGTTTTTCATACTAAAGTCTAGAGAAAGGTACCAAAACCCCAAACTAAATACAATGTCAATTGAAACCCTATATTACCATGGTTGAATCAGATTTCATATAATCATTTCGTATTTCTAGATTACTGCCCCTTATTTCTTTGAATGAGGCTCCGCCCCCTGATTACACCCTCTAGTGTGTCCATACTTACATACTAGAGTGTTGAGTAACGGAGTGTGTCCAGGATACACCAGCATTCTTCCCACAGTGTGGATGACGGTATAACTGAGGAACTGCAGAGGTAGATCAGCAAGACGAGACAACAGGCTTCCAGATGAAGCAGTGTGGGTCTGACTTGGTGATTCTACGCTGGCAACTGAAGACTTGATCTTGCTAGTGTCACTGCATTAAGAATATCCGGCTAGATGGTTTACCACTTTGGTGATTCCACTGAACACATCAAGAATCCACAATTTATGAGCAGACACCTGATCTCTTAGAAGACTAAATAACTTTCAAATCAAGCTTTACACTTCAGGTATAATTTTTATTTTTGCTGGTCACTGGAAAATATTATCAACCTCAACGTGGAATGCATTAAATGATGCAAAAACTGACCGGGATAGACTCTAAATGGAGTGAGTTGGATGGTGCATCAGATGATGGGGACGGGGGGGGTGCTGATTTGCCTGTTAGAGGATGGATTTTTGGCCATTCTTAGAGCACCCAGCAGCTCATCTGTGATTATGGTGGGTATTTGTAGATCTACATGTATGCTCACAAACTGGGTATGTTTGGCAATTGAATAAAGTGTCTTAGAAGTTACAAAATTCTCATGAATAACCAATGTTTTACATGCGTATTCCCTGTTACACAAAAACTGTCTGAAGCGAATGGTTGTCTTTGGCTACAGCTATGCGATAGAACACATCAATGACATACATCCAAGCTATCATGTGCTGTAGAATATTCAAAACAAACACAGGTTACACTGCTTACACTTGCCACAGCCATAAGCACTTGGAAAAAGCAAAGATGAAAGCATTACCGTCTTACCTACTGACATCATTCCATCTGAAGTCTGGTGGCCAATGGCTGAATTCAAAGTCGTAAAACTGGAGTTTGTTCTGTAAAGAGGGGAAAAGTTGTTGACTGTGTAACAGATGTGGTGCATGTATTTCATAGTTCTCAAACAACTGGAAAAAAATTAAGAATTAAAATTAAGTTAATTGTATATTCTCAGTGAAATAACAGACATGATATAACAGATATGCATGTTTCTGAATTTTGCGACCAATGTTGGGCCCAGACTTGTTACTTAAACTGAAAAAAGTTCTAAGAGAGTAACTGACAACGTAAAAATCACACAGGTAACAGTTCTGAAAAAGCAAACATTTCTTGGCCACAGCAATCAGTGTCCCCAAGCAGGATATTCTACCACAATCTAGATATACTTTCATATAATCTCCTGTAGTTTGAACCAGTCACATTTCAACATCACAGACATCTAACCTTTAGTTCTGAACTGTTGCTTGCTTTAGCACTTTCTAGCAATGCAAGAAAGGAACAGTACTCTTCATTCGTGTACCGGCCAATTCCTGAAACCAAAAGATAAACATCAACTTTTTATCAATTGTAACAATTTTTTTTTTCAAAATCACTGTGCATTCAAAAAAAATCATTAAATCATACTTTGGTTGAGCGAAGACAAGTGATTGGAGCCCATTTAAACCCTTGAGTGAAGGAACACTGTACTTGTTTTAACAACTGTGATTCACTGAGACTCACCACGAATGCACATAGCAAAGGCAAGCATAGGCAGAGCCGTGCCCACAATCTTCCCAATACTGATCAGACCTTCATAGGTGAAATAATCTGCAAAAACAGTTGGAAGATATCAAGAACTAATAACATTTCCCCACAAAATACTGCATCCCATAGCCCTTGAAGTTTCTGTCAGCCAAAAAATAACCTGAATAGTTCCTGAACGGGTACATTTCCTTTATCAGAACCACACAAACAGACAAGATATTTTTGCATGGTGTTACCACAAACCTTTTCCTGAACTTGCCACAATCACCATGAAAAGCTTCAAATCTTCAACATTTTCTTACTGTCAAGCACTGTTTCTATAGGAAACTATCTAAAACTTCAGAAATTCTCCACTATGAATCAAAACCAACAGCAAATTAGTTTAATGGTTGGGCTACAATTCTTTAAAATCTTCACACTAAACTGCATGACTTTGAAGGATTCTTAGCTTACATTTGTACTTTATACTTACTTTTGCGATACAAGTAGGCCAGTAAGAATGGAGACGTGTAGTAAGAAAATGACCAGCAAAATGTGATCTGTAAAGAGAAACAAGTTGACTTGACCAGACCAGAATAATCCTATTTCACATCTACAGACAGCAGACAAAGCTTGACTTTGGAAACATCTCCATACACGCACATCACCAAGTTTCCCTGCCATGGTAAGTCAGCTATCAGAAAAAAATAACCATAATAATAATGTTCACGTATGGAACTCTTTTCTGTTTTTTTGCTCTCAACTCATCAAGAAATTCATTATTCTTTGTTAAAAACAGAAATTTGACAAGACAAATCTACTTACAATTTTGACCACATTGTTGCCTTGACGTTCCAAAATGTTAGGCTGGTACTCATGTCCCTGCAAGTACAGAAGTAAGCATGTCATGTACATGTATGTAAAACGTTGATGACCTCATCAACAATCTTTGATCCACTTTCCTGTTTTTAAGATGAGTGATCAAGTGGTCCTGATGGGATGCATCGTGACATTGGACTAGTCGGCGTGCCTATTATACACGTTCGGAGGACTGGGACGGGAACCGGTCTTTCATGTCATAAACGGCGATAAAATTGTTTTGTGAAGAGAGCAGTAAAAGCTCTGAATTTTCCCTAAAGTACATGTAGCTTGTACAGGGTCCAAAAACCATCACAAATGCAATTTTAGAGAGATATATGTATGATTTAGTTTTTACAGCTTTTGGGGGGAACATTTGATTGAGAAAATACAGTTTCAACAAGAAACAGACACATAAAGGAGGGGTGTATTTAAAACCCCACAGCATTACAAACCCATTAAGACCCAACTGATTATAATTCAAGTTCCCTGTGCACAACTGGTGAAAAGAATTTATTTCCTACTTCCAGAACTGTAAGGTTTATACAAACCTCACAGATAGCTACAATATGTACAAACTCCTATAAACACATTTTGGATGTTTTGATTGTGCCAACTTACTCTTTCAGTCCATGTTGGCACAATTGGAACTGCAAAAATGAGTTCATGGCATAATATGGAAGTTTATACATAGGAATCTGGGTCATCTCGTACCCGGGACAACTCGTACCCAGGTCAACTCATGCCCCAGTCAACTCATGCCTGAGTCAGTTCATGCCTGAGTCAATTCGTACACGAGTCAATTCATACCCTTGCATGTATTACTGTCATCAGTGGATAACCCTACCAATGGCTCCTTTGCTTGCCAAGACTGAACTTTTTAACTAATTTTAATTTATTAATTATGTTATGCAGTCCTCTCCTTCACTTTAGAAAAAATCCTTGTAAGTTGGGCCACTAAGTGAACCACATCTTGTCGCGCGCCCAGAGCGCTAGCGCTGCACCGGCGCGGCCCGCCTGGTTTTCAGTTTTCCTTCCGGAGTTGCCTTTGATCGAGCTCAAGTCCTACTCTGATCTGTATCCAGTCCAAAATGTTTGCACGGCGCCATTTATGATATCATTGGCCTAATATGGAATGTAAGGGCGTGGCTGCCGGAGATTGGCAAACATACATGTAATGCTAAGTTTGAATATACATAAGCACAACTGGATGTAGTGAGAATTTAGAATTGTTGTGCAGCAAAAATGCCATATGTTGCATGTTCTTGGTTGATTATTAGTGAAATCTCACCACGTGCTTTTTACAACCATCGGATGATGTGGCCCAATCGTAATTTTGTAGCACAAGTGCCGAGCATCGGAGCGGCATAACTCTTTGCTTGCTTATTTTATCACGTTTTCTTGCATGCATCCCATGCACTAACAATATTATTAAAGCAAACATTTGAACCGACCAGTTTCGGCAATTGATATTTGATGATTTTTGGTTTGGTTTGGCAGTTCGGCTGCAGCGCTATTCTAACGTATGGAGTACGAGTGGTCCAGGGTATAAGATGACGTGGGTACGAGTTGACTTGGGCGAGAGTTTGGGGGTACAAGTTGACCTGGGTACGAGTTGTCCTGGGTATGAGTTGTCCCGGCCCCGTGTACGATTTGACCTGATTCTGTCAGCGTCCGTACATTGTATAAACCTGTTCTGGAACTTGGAAGTAGGCTAGGCTAGCTATTTCCTACCATGCCTGCAATGCACTGAAAAATGGCCCTTCTCTGGCAACCTCTCGGTATGATAATGCACTGTATTCAAAATTTTCCGTATTCTGTGAATCCTATTGGAAATTAACGTTACTCCTATTCCTAAATCATCAATCATGATCATTCTTCATCTTGGGAGACCGAGTCCGGAAATTGGGCAACAACGATAACATTCGAAATACACGGCATCGTGACTTCAATGCAGTCTGTAAATGATCAATATTGTCCAATTAAGTCCCTTTATGGTATTTGTCTTACCACAATGCCTTGCTGACTGTGAATTCTGTAAAGTTGAGGCCCAAAAATACAACGGCGAAGAGACGCCATTTCCCCAACCAAAGCGCCACAAAATTTCGAATAGCGCCACCACGTTGTTGTCAGTGAGTTATGATTTTTGAACATCAAGAGCGTAAAGCTGATTATGTACATGTGATGCTATACGTGTCACAAGGGACACGTAATTCAAACACAATTGTGTCATTCACTTCATCAGAAGTCGTAAAATGAAGTGTTTTCAAAAACAAAAAAAGAAGAAGACAAAATAGGCCAATGATTTTCTTGAAAACATAACGATGACTCGATAAAAATTGCTTTGAAAGTAAGAAGGTTGTCCTGATAGCAGTCAGCCATTACATCGTATTTGATGATAGAATAAGTAGAGTTAAATGCAATAAAATGTCACAAGTGGATCTGTCAAAGTCCGCATATCGAAAGCGAACGTTCAATACTGCTTATGATTTCCATTCATTTATTTCATAAGCATGTTTTACTTGGTATAAAATAACCGAGCTTGCCAGACAGGAAATGTACGCATAAATGTACCTTGTCGGGAGAGGTACCACACAGTTGTCCTTGTGGGTGTTACCATAAGGGCACCCTTATTAAATTCTATGGTTCACATTTCTTTTACCACTTGAGATAAGGTCGGTCGGTCGAAAAAAAAATCCTTAAAAAAAATATTCCAGGTTGCTGGTGTAGGGCTATGCAAGAACCTCAGTGAGCCACGGAAAGGTGCGGTATACCAAATGTTCACGCGAGCGCCGACCGTCGCTGTTGGTCGTTTGCGAAATCGTAAGTTTTCAGGGCTTTTGTTTTCAGGTCATGCTGGCCAATTTTTTCCCCTTCAGTTTTTTTTTGGGGGGGTTAGGTCTTTGTAGCAGGGTTGGCGGGGAAAAAAGCCTTTTTTCCGTGATTGGTAGCCCAAAATAGGGTCGGTCGAATAGAATAGAATATAAAAAGGGTGCCCTAATGGTGGGAGATCGTTACGGTGAGAGCGATTTCCAACTGAAGCCGCCCCGATAATAATGAGTCAAACTTTTTCAGGGAGATGACCAGTCTGTCCAATTTTATTAACTACAGGTAATATCAATATGTATTTGATTTCTGGTAAATCTTTTCCAGTTCACTTATATGTATTAGTTACACATACACCCCGCGCACCAAATGATAATGAAGGTTTGTAATTAGACATAATTGAATTTACATCATATGTTATCGCCCGGTCACCAAAGCAAACTTCTTACAAGTTATTCAGTTAACACAATAAAAGTAGAATACATGGAGGAATTTGTTATAACGGACAGAATCACATTTTCAGAACCGCTATCTGGCCATCAAAATACATAACAGTCAAAATCTTTACATAATACACGTACTCTTTGTATATGCCCGCTTACCATTTCAGGAAATAAAAGTGCTAGTTCTACGGTATAAACTCACCGCCGTGAATTGACACAGTGATAATAAATGCCAAATGTACGGACAGTAATTCCTTATGAAATACCATTTCCCTTTTGTATACCCGAGTAGAGAAACCTTTCCGATAGCTCATCCAGACGAACGTTTTCCAAAACTAATTATAAATCAAATCAATTCAAGCTACCTTGCCGAGCACCATTTTGTCTTAAAGCAGTCACCTTAACGTAAAACAGCTCTAGAAACCACAGTTTGACGATAGATAATTCTTGTCACTAGTTTTCCTGAACTTCTGGCAAACTGCTGTACCTCACAGTCATCTGATGATTGTCTTCATGTTCCTCTTTCCTATCTGGATACAGCTTGCCTCCCATGGTGGTTCCAAAGCGCATGTGTACCTCCCAAGCATGAAGGCGATTCTGAGGAAGGGCAGGACCCCAGCTGTCACGTGGTCTCACCAGCAGTCGAAGGCGCTGCGGAAATTCAGGGTATAGACACGGGTTGTATACGGCATTGTAGCTTAAGGCGGTTTAGTGTGAGGATACATAGAAGTCTACAAATTTGTTCAACTTATTCATTATAGTGCCCCATTCAAACAACATGGTGATTGGTATGAATTGTCTTTAAAAATTATGGACTAAAATGTCTGAACATTAATTCGATATGATATTTGAAATTTGGATATATGAAATTTTGCACAGCCCTGCATCACAAAGTAAAACACAGATTTTGGTATGCGTACAGTGGAAAATCGTATACATCAAGATGGCTTTGAGGAGCAGAATGATTCGGTTCTAAGAACAAGAGCCCGTGTACCTGCTTAAGTGTTCCCTTTTCCACCATTATGGCATAAACCCACCACAGTGGAATCCATATTAAAACCACAACGAAGATAGTCCAGCCAATACCCGAAGACCACGGTGGAAGAGGTCCGTTGTATTCCGGTTCGGTGCGAGCGATATATTCAAATATCACCACTACCTGTGAATTACCGTGACCAAGGCCGAGATATCATGAGTTAAAGATGTCTTGGTGGGTTCGATTTGGAAGTCGCCAACTGCAAATATTTAAGACTGATTTATTAAAAAAAAATCAGGAAGTTTTGGTTGATAAAACCGAATTGGACTATGAAATATCATGTGGGGTTTGTGTTGTTCTTATTCATAAACTATATAGGACTTGTCTATTTCACATGGATCCGAACCTCGATCAGAGCATTGTTTGTTGACTGGCACCAGTGCCCACCTTATGGATGCAGCGAACCAACGTTGGAATTACTGATTGAGATACAGATGTGAAACAAACAAGAAACAAAAAGCTTTGCATTTTCGTTGGTACCGGTAATCGCTTTTGATGTCACAACGTACGTAACAATGATTTGTACTATAAAATTACTTTTAAACGATTTTTTGGTCACTGTTAACAATACTCACCAGCAACAGCACCGGCAGAATCACAGCCCAAGCAACTGGATAGAATTTAAACAATGGACAATCCACTACCTTGTCGCCAATCATGGAACGGATGTCATTCAACAGCCGTCGGATACCATAGAGCCAACTTACGGCCAGACATTCACCAACCACGAAGACTATGAGAGCAATAGAAGGCGTGTATGCGTTGACGAACGCAAGCCAGTATGGTCCCGCCTGTACAAGGTGAAATATTTATAAACATGTTTCACATCGGCATTCACCTTAGATGTCTCAGCTTTAACTTTTTTGAATTATGGTGGATCATTTTTGCTATGATCGAGCAGCAGCGCCTGTAAAAGATGGCTTTTTATATGGAATACCGGATCTTCTTGGAAAAAACCCAGTAAGGATGAAACAAATTCGTACTTATTTCGCTATTTTATTATATTAACAAACATCCAAAAACCAATGACTTCACCCTCCAAGTTCTGATGGTCTAGTTGGTACCCTCAGTGGGTTGTACGTACTTGTGGCAAAATTTCCCGCCAATTAATTACTCAATCACCCGTTTGTTAAACTTTCACTCACATTTGTCACAAATATCAGCCCAAGGAGAAACATGCCCAGACACCAGCATAGCAAAAAGGCCCATCGATGGCGACGAAGAACAGAAAATTCATCCACCAAACCAGTCACACTTTGTTCGATGATAACGAACTGGAAGAAAATATTAAAAAAGCTGCAAATGGCCGAGTCTAGTTTCTGGACCTTGTCAGTTCCCCTGTAAAAGGTGGATCTTCAGTACCTGTACAGTTCCAAAGTTTGGATGATGTCATCTCAGATGAATTCAGTTTACTTTCTTGGATAGGTGCCAAAGCACGGGCGTCGCTAGACCATTTTGGATGGGGGTGCCACATGAAATTTGCCGACGGACCGTCACACAAAACGAGTGCACTGTATCCCCCTTCCTTTCATCTTCATTCTCCGTTCTTTTTTTAAATTTTATTTTAAAAACTAACCGATAGCAATGGGAAGTGTGACCCCCGACACCCCCCCCAGCGACGCCCGTATGCCGAAGGCTGCAGCAAAATATGTTGTCTTTTATCGACACTATCTTAAAGGGTCCATGAAGACCTCCGTGGACAAACTGTTAATTTTTTGAAATATTCACTACTATGCCATAACACGATAGGGGATGTAAAAATGGAATATAATTCCCTTTGTTGTGGTTAATTTTACTGACCCCTCAAATAAATGTTTTAATCCTGTCATATGATGGCGTTATGTGTGACGTACATTTGAGAACCCGGGTATCCTTTTGTAGATGTACGTCTGGAACTAAGAACACGGACATTAGACACGTACAATTTACGTGCCCGCGGAATGTTCATCCACGTATACGATATCGGCACACACGGTAAAAGCAGGTGCACACGACTCTACCACAAGTATTATTGAGTGGAATAGCATGGAGGCATTTCATACCATTGTCGTTCACATTTCATGAAAGCTCCTCTTCGTCTTTGTTCTTCACGGGCTTTCTTTGATTTCCCAGAAACTATAGGCCTGGTGTTTGACATCAGCAATCGTATGAATTTAATCCGAAACGAGGTGTGAACGTTTAGAAGAAAACAAGGTGGCTAGAAGTGAAAACTACGCAGTCTGGAGCCGGCTGCCGATTCTGATCATCTGGCCCTGGTCAGCCTGACTTTCGATGTCTAAATTCGTCGAAATCGCACTGGACAAGTGAAGCGGCGCGACGATGTCTTCTCAAACGTACGTCACAGATATGCAAATTTTTTTGTGTTGATGAGATACCTCTCGAGGGCGGGCCCATTTCCCAGAACGTTTAAAATCCCAATTCCCATTTATGTTTGGGTATCGTTTGAAAATGTACAATTTTTAATAATAACTAATAAAAACCACTTCTATGGACCCTTTAAGGCCAAAAGGCGGTTGATCCATTCATTCCTGTAGTGTGGAACTGACGCCCGTTTAATTCCACTGACTCTATACGCACATGCAAATTCACGCATTGTCTTACCTGTGTGTCCAGACCAAGGATAAAAAGCATGAAGAAGAACAATGCAGACCAAAATGGAGCCCCAGGCATGCGGCTTACAGCGTCAGGATAAGCCACAAACGCAAGTCCGTAACCTGACAAAGAAAAGTCACAAGAAACAGGGAAGCAGACCGAATTACGGTTTTAAAATTTTACGGCTCTTTTCATTTTCTCTGTATATGTCGAGATATATATTTACCCTGCGAGACTACATCTCTGACGTTTTTGCCTTGTGCGTGCGCCATATAGCCAAGAATAGAAAAGATTACGATCCCAGCAAAGAAACTGGTTGCAGAGTTGACCAGAGGTACAACCAAACCATCTCTGAAAAAAAATGTCAAGTAGAAATTACAGCCATGAAGTGTCTACTAAAATGTCAGACGTTGGTATTTCTTTATAACTTTCTATATAGATTTTATAATTAGATAAAAATATACGTCAAAATAAAGCATTTTCACTGATGCACTAACATGAGGCAATTATTGTGGAATGTGTTATAGGATCCTAGTGTCATAGTCCCAGATGAACCACTCCCGAGGGAGAAAAATATTTGACCAACTGCATCCAGCCAAACCTGTAACATGAAATAAATAAACAACTATTATGATGGGGGTGACATTTCAGGTTAAACACAGGCAACATCGTTTCAAAATGGTGTTAGAGTTTCAAGTACCGTGATTGTCATGACTGTTAAAGTTTGTTCATTATGCCCCAAGTAACAAAAAGGGATAGAAAATACAGCAACATGTGAAACTAGGCCGACTTTGCTGTACAATAATCGGTACCAGATTGTCACGAAGGGGTCTGATACATCTGGCTTCGCATTCATTTCCGGCTTGCAATAAAATGTATACAAAACTACTTCATCATACAGTTTAATTATTCGAAATACCTACCTTTGGTTTCATCAGGGTATCCCAGCGAGGAGTGACAAAGAACGCAACACCATTTTGATAACCAGGCAAGGTAACTCCACGAATGAGGAGAACGAACAAGCAGACATACGGAAAGATAGCAGTAAAATAAACAGCCTGAAAAAGAAAGTAAAATGTTCTCATCAAGTATTTGCAGTTACTCTGATACAAATGTGGCTTTTCAACTCACACATGTTCAATCCGTGTACCTTTCCGGATGATTTGATGCCTTTGGTGACGCAGAGAAATACCACTATCCAAGTAAAGAGCAAGCACAAAGCAAGTTGCCAGATCACGCCCCCAGTTATTTCCATAGACGCTGACTCCTGTAGCACAGCAAACCTCAAAGTCGAAAGAGAAAAACGTGATAACAAGTTACAATCCAGAAATTAACTTTGTCATTTCAAGGATTTTACTTTAAGGTTACCAACCATTTTTAAAGTTTATCTCTGTAATTCTCACCACTCTGTATTTGTTCACTGGAAAATTTCGTCCCCGATTTTCTTGTGTTTGAATTGTTGGTCAGTTTGTTTGTTTGATATTTTACAACCTGTAATTTGGTTTCAACTTTTACTATAACTTTACTCCTTCCCGTCTCTTACGTACCTCATACATGTCTTCTAAAACTATTATTTCGATAGACTGATCGGGCGAAGTGTTGAGGTGATGACGATTGCACTATTTACTTACCGGTCTTCCAAATAAAGCTTTAGCAAATTTTCCCAGTGTCAGATGAAATGAAGGTTTGAAATAACACTTTTTTGGCCCCAACTACTGCGGAATCTGTTTAAATTTAATATATTTAACCATTTATCCCAAATTATAAACGGCACTTTTTGAAAATTGGTTTTATGATTCAAAGTAATTTACTGTGTATCATCAATACCTCCAATATTCTTCACTGGCAGATCGGCGAAAACTACTGAAAGGGTCGGAGTAATTGGACATATCGTAGTCTCCATTTCTATACGACGTTACATTCAAACCTCCCAACTCCTCTTCCGTAAGAGCATCCAGCCTCTGGCATGTGTTGTTGAATGTAATTACACCGTCTGCGTCTAGACAGTCAGACACCAGACGACCGCAGAGGGCGGTATTCCACTCATGGCCACACCCCGTCCACGGTAGGGAGGATGTGAGCGAAGCGAAGAAGTAGAAGACTGAATATGTGATGACCACATTGTAATACGAGCCCACGATGAAGGAATAAATAGTCTGACTGAAACCTAGCCCTGAATGATTGAAAGAAAATTTGTGATATTGTCACAATGACCTCGGATACTGATTTATGCACCGTCGCGCAAAAAGCATAAAACAGTAGCTTGTAATAATCTGTTTAATAAATATCTAGGGCAAGCTGCCGTAAATTTCGTCATTGAGTCTGTCTTAAAAGGATAATTAAGCTTTTTTGAAGCTGGCTTAAAATGGGTTTTGTACGGGGTTTTAATTTTGTTCTTTCCTGTACTGTACTGCTTACTGCAATGGTTTTCGGAATACTAGCTACTGATAATTTTAAAATAAGATGAACACCGGTTTGGAAATTACAACCTTTTTACAGTCTTAACTGTAAACCAGCAAAGTTTCCAATTACCTTTCAGCAGAGGTACAGCTCTCCAAACTGAAATACAACCAACGCTGCTGTATTGCCCAAGCACCACATCAAGAAAGAATGTTGGCAGACCAGCCAGAAAAAGAGCGAGGAAATACGGTATCAGAAATGCACCTGTCAATTAAAACCGGTAACACTATTATTGATGAGTCGCAAACGGCTCTATTCATTCAGCAGTCAGAATTACGAACTGTTACTTTGCTGGTATTAAGCCCGCGCGCTTTTTGTACAGAATACTGATTTCTGGCCATCTTTGTTAAAGATAATTCGGATCCTCAGATTCCAGTGAGACAATGACCAACACAAAGCGGGGGATGGGGGTTCTCTCCGTCTCATATCTTGCTTCATCTGTTTCAACGGTCTAAACAACGGATGGTACACAGAATAGGCAGAGCACAAAAAACCACCCGGCTAAGTCAGGCATGTTATTAACGCCTACATTTTACTGTGAATTCGTGCAGCCCATGCAGGTGTGAAGATAGATCGCGTGTCGGCTTTTCAATCAATTACGTCTGTCGCGGTACCGGGTGCGCTAAGTTTGTGTCTTCAAGGCTTGTAATGTGAAGAAAAGTGCTCATGTCAGGAATTAAGATTTCTTCAAGTCAAGTCTCAAAGTTTTATGTAGTCGAGTAAAGTCTCTAGTCATTTTCTTTCCATGTAAAGTCTAAAGTCAAGAAAAAAAAACCCGACTCGAATCTAGTCTGAGTCCGGCGAGTTAAAGCAACACTGCCAGACAGGCCTTCAGTGCCAAATTCACTTACCTCCACCGTTTTCAAAGCACAAATAGGGGAATCTCCACACATTCCCCAGGCCAACAGCCCAACCAAGGCACGCAAGAAAAAACTCTCGTTTGGAAGACCACGTTGGACGGGAGTCCATTCCTACCTCCATGCTGCCTCTCCCATATACGGTGCATTGAACTGAATAATAAACAATGTAGTCCCCATCTATGACCCATGATTAGCCTTGGTGACGTCCAGTAGTACAAATACACGTAGCGGTATGGGCATATACCCTTTGTAAGTACCTTTATGTTTATAATCATTGGCGGTACAAGTATCCCAAGTATTGCCATTGTGCAACTGAACGATTACCTTGTGGTCAGCTGACAAAAGGACACCGACTATTTTGAGAGAGCTAGCTAGGGGTGTTATACCTACCGCAGTCGCGTAACCAATTTCCAAAAGCGAAAATTTCCCACACCGGCAAATTATTCTGATACGGTTTTGTAGATTTTCGAAATTTCGCGTTAGTATCAGAAAATTTTGGCCAGTATAATTTGCAGATTTTCAAACATGCATCACAAATCAAAAGCAAAGGCAGTCCCTCAGTTTGTCTTTGCTCCTTTCTTTTACATCAATATTATTGATCTCTACCTTTATACAAGTTTGACGGGTGTGGATGTCAGCTCAACACCTATATAAATATAAGAGAAATCCAAATCTTTACGTGACGCTATATTCCACCGACAACGGTCACCTGCTGTAATAGATTATTATTGATACTGCAGGGATCAGCCAAGTACTTTTTTATGTGAAACAGCAATTAAAGGCATCAGTTATGAGCTGTGGCAAAACTGCCGTACCATACACTCTATCAATGTCAACTCGAGACATGATAATCTGTCGTCCAAAGTGCACTGTTTTCATTTGAGTTTGTTCTTGGTCGGGTGATAGTTCAAGTGAATTATTTTGAGTGCAGTGGCGTATCCAGCAGGGAGGGGGGTAACCCTGACGGTCTCTACAATTTGTTTATTTAATTTTTTTCAAACTGAGATTACTTCATTGGTGAGCAGGAAAGAAACTAATCGGTATATTTATTTATCAAATAAATAGGCTATATTTCTCTCTCCCATTATGGTGCATTAGCTTTGAATCCCTCCCACACACCCAAAAATCGATACGCCACTGTTTGAGATGCTATTTAATGTTCGCCGTGCGGAATCGTAAGTAACCGTAGCCGAAAAACATTGCTTTGCAGTTTGCCCGTCCGTAGCCGTAACGTACTTCCTTCACAATATTCCTCCGAGCGCCCTGTCACAGCGAAAGGGATGAGTCAAAATGACCGGAAAGATAGTTGATGCAACAGCTGACATTCATTTTTCACAACTCCATGTTCCTCCTCGCGGTGTAGCATGATCGACTTTCGCTTACGATCCTTCGCATTTTCATGTAAGAATTACATGTCATTTCAAGCTACCAGTGAGCATAGTTCAGTATACAGCAGATAACAGTGAATAATTTATCCCTTATCACTTGGTCAGTCATCCTGCAGTTCTCAATCCTTAGATCTATTGCTTTATTGGAATTTGGTGACATTTCACCGAGACGCCTCCTCTTTTACTGTAGAAATTGAACATATTCCATTTTTTTCTGTTTAGAATAATGTTTACTATTTAATAGGGAATTTCTAAAGTACTACCCCAAAAGAAAATAACTACCATGAGTGAAATGTCAAAACTACAAAAGCATACTTGTATCCATATCAGATGGTATCTCAAGGGTTCCGTACATATGAACAAGCGATTAAAATTTGCGCATGCATTGAAGATCAAATTATTGGAAAAGAAACACGAGGCTGATTCCTCTGTGAAGAACTACATGAAAGACAAAAAAATATTAATGGCAAAATTATGTCTTACGTAGTCTATAAGAGCTTACAGTCTCAGTTTACGGGACCCAGTTCTTAATTTCAGGTTGCAATGATTCAATGAGTACGGCTCCCGTCCAGCTATACAGCAGACGAGGAACTACGCTCTATTCCTCATTCAGATGTGATGTCAGACAGCAATGGAGCCACCACGCACCTTGAAGATGGAATGCAGTTAGACTCGACGGGATTACAGTTTACATCTTTCCTTGAAAACTCTTTTGAAAAAAGTATCATCGCGAATATTACATCAAAGATTGTAAGCGAAGAGCAACGAACTAAAAAACAGTGCAAACACACCTGTATCCATTAATAACCTCTGGGGCTCCGTGCATTATTTTGCAAGCCAATCAGAAAGGTAATAACATTTTGCAGTCAAAAGATCAAATTACACTACCAAATAAGAAACAGTCCGCCGATTCTTCCCTCAAGAAGTAGAAGAAAGACACCAAAAATCCAACAACCAGAAACTATGCCTGACTCACTCTGCTAACGAAGACGTGAGGAGTCTTTGTCTACAAAACTTCTTTGAATTTCATGCTGCAATGCTTTAGCGAGTATTGGTTACCCCTCCAACTATACCACTGAATACCAGAGCCCGGATACGAAGAACCACCTTGTTTATATTCGCCATTGAGATCTGATACCAGACACTTATAGAACCACCATGCACCTTGAAGATTTAAAGCACAGCTAGAATGTGGAAATAGATCATTGTCTACGTCTTTCGTTGAGAACTTATGTCCGTTGTGGTCTGATAAGGAATCACCGGCGGTGCTCTGTTGGCAGAAGGTACCAACTTGGAGCGTGTAATTTCCGCCCGAGATTCTGAAGTGATCGTACTGAGCCCAAGTGGTGTTGCCCTCCCAGTCTGCCATGTCTACTCGCAGTTGCCATTGTCCGGTCTCAGTCAAGATGCTAAGAATTTCGTTTCCAAGCCAAAACTCGCCAGACAGATTGCCAAAGCCGGATTTGTAATCAGCCCACTCGCGGAAGAAGTCAACGGAGCCGTCTTGACGTCGCTGAAACACAATCCAGCCGCCTCCGTCGGTCTCCATATCGCAGAAGACCTTTGTGCTACGAGCCTTCGCTTGGGGATAGATCTTATAGATGCCACTAGTACGATGAGTCGTTGACAACATCAGACAACTAGAGTCAGGTGATGAGTATAAGGGAGTGTTGATATCATTGTCGTAGTAGAGATACCCAACCGAAGTAACCAACTCATTTGGTTTATGTTCCCTTGACGAATTATTAAGTTGACACAAACGGGTTCGTGTATGGAAGTTATAAGACATACACAGCGGTTCAATGAAACAGTCTCGTCCACAGGTCGTTACAGTGCTGTTGAGCGTCTGCCTGAAAACGTTGTTTCCATACGCTTTGTTGATTGCGGGATACAGCATGTGATTCATACCAGGTCGACAAGTTTGCTCGCTGGCGATAAAGTTGAGGCAAACTGCCGTGGCGATAGCCAATATAACTCGACTGCAAACACGTACAGCCATCTCACTTTAGGCGTTCAATTAGATGATGATTTAACTCCCAATTACACAGCCCTGCAAAGGCTTGTGATAGCAGTGGACCCGTCGCAGCCAACTCACCAACTGTTTTGATCTTTTTCAGACGTCTCCTTGCATACATATAGATCAAGCTTTCTGATCTTTTTGTCAAATTAGTTTTTATCTTGCAACTGAAAAATTTATTTCCAGCGTCCGTTTAAAGCTATTTAACTATTTACATTCTCATTTTACAAAAATAGTCTTTTACCCAGCGATTGTACAATAATAGAAATTTTAGTATTTATATTTAATATTAATGTCAATTTAAAAGCAACTTAAGCACCTAATCGGGTGATTATTATTCATGATGTTTAATTTTAATGAGTGGTTAATAATTCTCACTTTGTACGATAATAATATTGCAACTCTTTTTTCACTCCTTTTCGCTGAAGAATTGATCCCAGTTGTAACATTTCTTGCGATAGAAACATTTAATAGAATTATACGGGACTCCTTAATGTAGCAAAAGAGTACACCGTAGTTATCAGATCCCACACTATTCGCACGTTAAACCATGTGACAATGTAGGTGGGATGGATGGAGCCTAAGATGTGTGGGCCGTCTACTTGTTGCTTGAAGGGCACATAAAATATTCAAAACCTGCGCACTTCCTGAACTCTCTCTGCTCGCTGAAATGGTCATCCATAAATTAAGATATACCGAGCGCAACTTAAAAATCGATACAAAATTCATGATTATAAAGGTATTAAAACGTCAAAATCCAACTTCTAAAACAGGAATCGACTTTGGGTATTGCTCCTACAACCTTGTTGCTGAAGGTAAAATGTATGACAGCTGCATTAAATGATGAAACTAATTCCAACTATTTTGCTCAAGCATGATTATTTCCAGTGTCATGCACGTGCTCTTATTCGGACCACCCGATAGACATTCATTGGCGTCCGATGCTAGAAGTCGAAATCTTTGGCCACAGGTTGCCGAGGAAGTCTCATGTCCTGCAACTGCATGAAGAGATTTATGTGCATCATTACTAGCACCAAGTAATAAAGACAAAAGAATTAGAAGCGTGATTCGCTTAACCCATCAACTAAAATATCCATGGTATTAGATGCGATGTCCTTAAAAATTTGCTGTTTAACTGGCAATAGGGCTTTTGAGTACCTGCTGACTTGAATATAAAGGTTTTCTTTGAAGCTAAAAAGCACAGGCTGCAATGTGACTCGGATACACACTCACCGATAAAGAGCCAGATACCATAAATGAGAAGTTGGTATCAAGAGTCCTGTCAGAGCGGCACTGGAATCGAATGATAACAAAAAAAGCAAGATGGTTGATGAATAAATTGAGGCATTGGAAGCATTGCATTATTAGGCGAGAAAATCATGTCAGAGAGCCGCTCAGGAGAAACTCAAAAGAGATGAAAGATCAGACACTCGGAAGAACTATGCTAGTGTTTCTCAGAGGATGGAAAAGTCATCGAACAGGTGATAAATTCAGGATACCATTAATGAAACATTTCAATTCAAACAGCCGCTATTATAATACTTGTTTGGTAAACTGAAGATAGTTGGAGAAACAGTGAGGAAGTTCATTGATCATAATTTGAAAGAGAATAATCAGTGGTGATGTCACTAGTTTGAATTTACTGGTTTACATGTTGATTTCGAGCTCTTTCAACACAGTACATTTAACACCCACCTGCTCGCGATCGGCGAATTCTGGCCACGGTGTATGCTGCGTGCCACCTGCCCGGGCACGTCGGTTGTATTTTACAACCATGCATGAGATACTGCCGAATACCAGCACGGCCCCAGCAACGCCAATGGCAATGAAGGTAGCACTGTCTGATGACGATGCCGAGTGATTGACGAGATCTTGAAAAGAGAGTACAGCTGTGCTTGGAACTGATTGTTTAATGAAAGTATGAGATGGGATATAATCCCCTTTATCAACATAGGCTACCTAGAAAAGGTTCGTGCTCTATACACCCTCATGGCAAGTCGTGGGACCCAAATGGCACACACAGTATCAACCGCCTAGCCAACCCCGGCGACCCTCTATTAAAAAGCACAAACCTTCAACTACGATGGCAAACTGACACAATCCTTCATTCAGAGCAGAATCCTTGACTCTACATGTTACGACTGTCGTTCCTACTCCATAAATGCCACCTGATACCACATCGTTTCCTGCATCATCTTGACATATAATTTCGCTTGAATCTAGGAGGTCGACATTATCTGTAACAGTTGGCAACGATGGCCATGACACGATAGCAGTGGCATTTCCACTACCCGTGCTCACAGATGTCACACTGGTTGGACACGTTACATGGGGCGGTTCTTTATCTAGACAAATGTGCAAACGATCAAGTAACTTTTGTTTTAATAAAAGTACATTCTTTCGAAATATCATGGCTTGTGGAAATCAAGGATTTCTCATGTAACTGTTTCGATAATCACAAGACTTGACTTAACATAACTTGTATGGTTTTGAATTTCAACGCTGAAAAACACAATTCTTCGTTGAATTAAGGAACATACATTAATATTAGATTATATTTGGGCAAGACGGGATTAATTCTTGTTATGTGACACTGTACTGTTCTCTTCATGGGTAAAGTTTCTAAGTTCCCTTGAATCGAAATATTGTGGAAGAGACCACATAACTCACGCGCAATTTACTAACCTACAACTATGATGGTGAATCGGCAGGTCTGTCGATTTGAGGCGGAATCGGTCACGTGACATGTCACTCTTGTTGTGCCCAATTCGTAAAGGGCACCTGAAACTGCGACATTGCCGGCACCGTTTTGACATGTGATGTCACTGCCGTCAAAAACATCAACATTGTCAACTGCTGATGGCATAGGTGACCAAAACACGGCAGCGTGTGGCACGCCAATATCAGTACCAATCGAAAGGACGCTAGTTGGACATGTGATATTTGGAGCTTCAGAATCTGTGTAAAAATCAGTGAGACAAATGCTGCGTATATAGGCCTATTTTGGTAAAACAGTTATTCCCCTTTATCGCCATTTCATTAAATCACCCCGTTTCAATAAATTAACCTAAGAATCAAGTTTTGAAATTAGTCTTTTTAGTCTTTAGATTTACTCGTGTTTCAATATTCAGTGGTTCAAATTGCTTGTTTCCATTTCGTTTTATATTACGAGCGAGAGATAAGATGGTACACACATCATATTAGAAACCTAGTTGGTCTATATTACCAGCATCTTCTTTTAGCATTTCAACACGGAAACTGACCTACAACTATAATTTCAAACTGGCAGTAGCCTTCATTCGAGGAGCTATCACTGACTCTGCATGTCACAGTCGTTGTGCCTAGTCCATACACACCACCAGATCTGACAATATTGCCCACTTCATCTGCACACGTGATGTTGCTATAACAAAGGACATCGACGTTATCAGTGACTGATGGCAATGGCGACCATGAGACGACAGCAGTTGCGACACCGCTATCTGTACTCAGGAAACCAATATTGCTAGGACACGAGACATCTGGAGCTTCAATATCTGTAGGTCAAATTATAAAGATAAGCTGAATAATGTAAAAATTTATGATTAAAGAAAATTGTCTCGTATTTTTGTAATTTCACTTTCCTCCTTCTAGCAAAAGTTACGCCAAACTGCACAAAGTGACAATGAAACAAGTCTGTTAAGTAATTAGGCATAAAAAATCTCCCACACTTCACTTGC